TGTGTGTGTGTGTGTGTATGTGTGTGTGTATGTGTGTGCATAATCCAAAATGTCCACAAATTCTAGATTACATGCAGATTTCGATTGTCATGTTTCCATCTGTTAGCACATGCGGGAATATTTGTGCTGTCATCCAAACTAAAGAAGAAATGCAATAAGATATAGCGTACTATTTTTAATGGACGAGTTGTGAAAACACGGATGACGGAGATGGGAGAGTAATTCGAGATATCTTAGCTCTTTTGAATGTCAAGAAATGAAATCGGATTTATGACAACCGGATGATGACAAGATCGATCATCGCATATCGATCGCATATTCAAATGCCCATTCGAATTTTATTCAGACCATTGTACCAAACTTAGGTTATTTCAAAAAACGATGATAGTTTATGCAAAAATTTAGCACATTGGAAAAATCATCATTGATCATGGCGAAGTATTGATCTAATTGTGATATCATAAGCGTGCGTTCTTCTTGTATTATTTACTTTCTTCAAACATCAAATTCGATATTACGTAAATGCGCAGTACGCTAAGAATAATTACCTCAATTTCATCCATCCAGAATTTACCTTATGGTATTTTTGAAATGCCATTCATCAATATGCTTCTATCAAATAGAATGTGAATTCGATCATATCTTTGCAAATTATTTAGCTCTTTTAACAAATATCATTGAAAGGAATATAAATGGCCAAATCATTGGTTGAGATTTAAGGTCATTTATGAATAACAACAAATAAAAGATTTGAAAAAGACGTGAGGAAAAAATAATTTTTTGTTGAAGCGAACGATGAAAATGAAATGGAAAAGCGAAGAAATGAGGTGCTGCTGGCATTGTGTTTTCTGTGCAATTTAATGGGATAAACCGAGAAAGACATTGTCATGCTTTATTGGGTTAAATTATCAACAAATTAGTGCTGTTGAAAGGTGAGCAGTGCAAATAGAAAGGGTAAAGGTCAATCATGCACATATGTGTTTGTGTTGTTGTAATACTCATGTCATTCTCTTTTTGCTTTATTATGACAAAATTGCTCGGGAGATGATTGTTTAATAAATGACTGGGGATATCGAGGGGAAGTCTCTGAGAGAATGTATGCATTACAAGGAAAACAGAAAAGAACGTCATGTGCCAGTCAAATTTCAACATTAAAAAAAAAGCTAATGAATTAACCATCATTTTCGGTAGCATTTTGTAATAATTGCTATTTTCATAATGGTACGATAATTTCGATATTATTTATCAACTCTTCCTTTATAAGAGTAAATATGCTAAGGCCGAAAATGTTAAATTTCCTTCAAAAAGTGTATCAGTAAATGATAGGTTAAGTGTACTGTAACAACGGATCACCTCATTCATCCATTCCTCTTTCTATCTCTTTCAGAAGAAAAATGAAAGATAATAAGGAGAGAGAAGATTATGCAATCATAAAAGCCATGTAGCGAAATGGCAGATGTCTGTTTAATTGAACAATAACAGGGCGGCTTCCATTTTAATGAACCATTCATCCTTATCACGGAGAAATGATTTTAGCTTCTTTGATGACTTCTTTTATGAAAAATGATTACAATCTAATTTTTTTCTTAAATTGCTCCCATCAAAAAATCATTCCAACCTAAATTTGAACATTTGCGAATACACTAATCGGTCCATCCATTTTCATCTCGCACATCTTCCACTGGCGTTATCGTTTCATCAAAATATATGATAAGTAATATTGGCACCACTCTTGAATTGACTTCAACTTCGAAAAAATATATGAATTGAGCTGACCGGCAACCGATAATTTTAAAATGCTTAGGGCTATAGGATAGTGAATCAATACATCAAATAACTAATAATATACAAACTGGGCAAAAATTCTCGAGATTTACTAGTATTATATTACGCTGATTTTATTTACACATTTTTCACGGTTACTATTTCTAATGAAAAAAAATTCATTCCAGATGGATGCGCTAAAAAACACATCATAATTTAGAATAAATTATACAGAAACCATAGCATTGCTTCTATTTTGCCGACGTCACCCATTAGCGCATTTTCTTGTGACTTCTTATGACCGTGAATGATCCTATTGAGATGCACCGCAGTTATGGGCTTCAAAAAAGGACCGAATGCGGGAGTAGTTTCGTACTCGGTAATTATGACATTGTTCGGAAGAGGGTACAGTGTGTAAGTTAATAATATGAAACCGTCTCTGAACAAATAAATGAGCAAATATTGTTCTTCCTCGATAAATTCGATCACAATTATACATGGGGATCAGCTTTCATAGCCTTTTCAAATCAATTACTAGTATAATTCTTTTTGATCGAAATCTCCAAAAATTGACTACTTGCCATGCATTTGCTAATATCACCGATTTGGAAAAGTTTCACCTTAATCTTTCGACTGAAGATCGACCCATCTAATCGTAACAAACTTGCATTTCTTTATTATTATTTTTTTCATTTAAATTTCTTATAAAAAATACAGGCTTGCATTGATTCTGAAACTTTATGTATATAACCATTGCACTTAAAGCTAATATGTAACTAAAGCAAAAAATTCAAGTTATTAAACTTCCCGCTTGGTGCTCATTAAGCGACATTGAAAGCATGAAAAATTTCCAGACTAGTTTTTCATTTATGAAGTCATTTTTAAATTATGATTGAATTAAATTATGATTGAATTATTGAATCCATGCCTCTATTCAATAAACACTTCAGAAAGGCAACGACGAGAAAGGATTCAAGAAAAAACAAATAATTTGAAAAAAAAGTTAATTAGCCTTTTTTCATTAAATTCAATTAGCCTAATAGTTTACTCAACAAATCGATTATGTATATTTCTAAAAAAACCTAACTGCGACCTATGTTAGGCGGCATTTTTACATAAATCATTGATGTTTGAGGCGGTGGAGTGAAGGAAGAGGGTGACTTGACGTGGTCGTAAATCATGCTGCTCCGGAACAACCTCTGTCGAGTGACAACTCGACCCAAATAGATAGCTCATCATCCTTCCTCTCAGTTAACTTTTGCTACTGTTCTGTAATTTATCATATTTCCAGGTCATACAATTACAGATATCCCTGAGAGCTTGTTCATATATCATAAAAAAGAAGTACAGAAAGGGATTTACGAAGTGAGGTACCAAGTGAAAGCAACTTTGCACCATATTGAGGTGATAAATTAAGACGATTTCAAATTGAAATTCGCTTAGTTACGACATTAAATCAACCGCTTTTTTCGAAAATTCACAAATTGAGGACAAATTTTGCTGCAGTTAAGCTTTAAACAATTTTCAGTCGGAAGTATCACGTGAAATGTCTAAATTCAGGTAATTAAAGTTTCTTTGTGAGCTTATAAATGAAACAGAAAATGGAAAGAGAAACTTGGGTCGACTCCTTGCCAGACAATTATGACTAGACCATTAAAACTAACCAGCTTAATAAGTTAACTCAAGGTAGTGTATAAAAACTGTTACATCCAAATATAGCAATCGGCAGCATGTTTTAAGACTAACTCATTACAGTACAATATATAAAATTCTGGACGCCATACAAATACAACAATAGATCTTAGAACTATGGAAGTCATTACATTTGAAATTTATAAATCATTTTCGAAAAATTCCAATCCGTCATGTGGTTGTTTGTTGAATCTTTTTTTGAATTGTAGCTAACAAATCATTTTATTTGCCCAACTGTTGGTTATCTGAGAAAAAGTCTTTCGTTTTTTCTTTTTTTTTTGGAGAAGAAATGCGTGAAGACCACACACCCTGTGCGGAGAGTCTAGTAGCTGGCTCGGAAGAAGACTTCAAAGGCAACCGATTAAACAAACATTTCAACAAATGCATAATTTGTTGCAGGTAATAATTAAGAAGTCTTTTTTTCATTCAAAAAAACACATAATAAATGAAATTGTTTGAATTTTGAAGAAAAAGTTTCGCTTTAAATAATTTTCGGTATATGAAATTATTCGAGGGACTTTCTAGCAATTTTCACTTCTCGAAAACGAGTTTTTGAATGAATCTGTCTTAGAACAGTTAAGGATACAGAAGGATTTGTATAATTATCTAAAATCATCAGCATTAGTAATTTTAATAGCAAGTATAATAACCAAACGGTTCAGCGATTTCAGCAAACGTTTGTTGGGAGAATGGTTCAGTGAACGTTTGTTGGGGGAATGATCATTATTACTCCCTTGACTCCTATGCTCCTCAAATCATTGCTCACCGTTATAATATAAAAATCTAAATCTGAAACGAATTCTTTCAATGACAACAATAATTTTTCCAGTTTCGCACGTATATTTTCTTGGTACACTTCATTGCAATCCTACTAAAATTACCAAAATTCCAGTTTCACTGCTTTATACAAACATGCAGTACTTAACTCCTCTGCAAGATTGAAATTTTTATGCAGCAAAAATCAATAGAAACCATGCGCAAATAACTTTTCAAATTAATAACACTGCAAACTAGAATAACTAGATTTTTCAATCTTTTACTAAAATTTGCGATTTCTTGAAAAAGATGATTTGAAGTTTACTCTGTGGTAACAATATTAAAAAAAAATTAACAAACGACCAATAACAAGAACAGAGAATAAGATATTAAAATAATTCAAGCAGATACACATGCGACCAACTGCACATATACCTGCTTGTTTTGGGTTACTAATATCATATTGCATTCTGCCTTTTCCGTCCAGTCATCTTTCTTTAACTCGAAGTCACAGATATCTTTCCTTGCAAGTATTTAGTATCAGAAATCATAGTCAAATTTCAAGTAATCTGCATCAAATTCTTGAATACGAACGTAACCATCCTCACCACCCGATACTACACAATTGCCACTTGGATGAAACGCCAGAGTATTGATTGGACCAAAATGCCCTTTGAAACGGGCAAACTCTTCTTCAAACACCTGTAAAGAAATCGATACATTGATTTAGTAATCACTCATTCTACAAATAAAGCAGTAAGTAATTCAAAATTACATTGAGTACAAAAATGATTTAACTGCTTACCAAGTGATACAACTTCGCTTCAAAATGACCAGAAGCAGCTGTTGTTTGAGTTACTTTCATTGCTTCTTCTCCACCACCCAGAATAACGTGGTCTCTCAGAGGAGAGATAGCTGCTGAGTTAACCGGACGTTCAGCCCTAAAACATTACAAATGAGATCAAGTAAGATAACATTTGAGGCAGTTGAAAATTTTATTTTTAAATGAAACCTAATAATAATGTAAATAACAATCAGAGAAAGTTTCAACTTCATACTTCATCGAAAATAAAAGCTAGCTATTTTCAGCGACACACGAGAAAACTTACTTGTATGTCTTTAAGCAATCCAAAGTCCTCGCATCAAATAGGCGAGCTGTTTTATCTTTGGAAGCAGTTATCAAGAAACTTTCATCAGTGCTCATTTGCATATCATTAATTTGAAACTTGTGAGCCTCGTCATTAAAATTTACAATGTCATCTCCTTTGCGTATATCATACTGATGAACGTTTCCCTTTTCGTTACCTGTAGATGAATTGTGTAAAGATAATAATATAACAGAGCGTTCTGCTTGCTCTGAATGGATACATTTCGAATGTCAGTAATGAATTTTTTTAATCTACCAAAACTATGATTTCTGGAAAAACTATAAAGAAAGAGCAAAATTATTTGAAATCTAAAACTAGCAAGTCTCCATTTATGACAGAAAATTTTCGAGTTAGGATCTTGACAACTGTTTCTGATAATGTTAAGAAAATAAACAACTGCACTTTTGGAACTATCTAATTTCTTATTGAGAACAAATTGCTAGACAAATTAAAAATATTCAGATATCAGAAAATATGATGCTCTTATCAATTGCAGACTTCATTTATGTTTGAATCTAATCAACGAGAAAAAAGCATAAGTTCTCTAAAGAGAGGAACAACACCTATACAAATGGTGTCATCCAAGTGTGTCCAAACGCAGGAATTGGCTTGCGTCTGAAGCGATTTCCTGAATGTTGGTTGATTCTCTCCACTCATTTGTGAACCATCTCGTATATCATATATGCATAGTGAAGCCTAAAAAGACACACTAGAGTAGAAATTAGAAAATAAAAATGATTTAACAATTTGATCGAGTACGAACGATAACAAACGACTTCAATTTCAACCCAACCCGTCCTGTACCATCTTAATCTGTTTTTCCCTAATATTTCAACCTTAAATGCAAACTTCCCTAACTAATCTATAATTATTCAGTACGCCATTAAATCTTTTTTAATTCATCGCATTAAATGCGCTACACACATTATCTTTCTGAAAAAAATTGACTTGAAGATTTCAGTAATAAATCCTGCCGTGTTTCCACATTACATAACTGTCTTTTGTCTTTTCAACATAAGGAATAACATTTCTTAAAGTTATCAACAATAAATAAGAATTAAAGTTCCAAACAACAAATGCAGTGAAAGAAATCATAAAATGTTTCTTTGTCAAGACTGCTGCAGCTTTCTCTTATTCCTGAAATACAGCGACTCAGTACCGGTGTTTAATACATATAAAACATTAACGAACCACATTCTGTGTCATTTTTATAGTTGTAAAAGCAATCAAATTCCCGCTGTAGGATAAACTAATGGATCGCGCAGCCGTTGGTGTTGAAATTGAATTTATCACATCCCCTGTTTCGCAATTCCACAACTAAAACGACTTTTCAATTATGATACATGAAGAGAAACATACAAACACGTTCGAACGCACATCAATGTAAAAATACGTTGATTGGGAATATAATAATTAACTGGGATTTAAGGATAAGTTTCTTATCTATTTTCTACATATTTGTTAGAAAAAATTGAAAGTACTCCACGACACTAAAAATGTCTGTAGAACACAATAAATGAAAAGGCTTACCTTGACGAATACATCACCAGAAGCAGAACAAAAATGTTGCGTGTCCCAAGACACATCGATATCCCAGATGACACCATTGTGACCGTCGTATGTACCGATCCGTTCACCATTCTCCATGTACCACACACAAGGACTTTTATCTTTTCCTGCTGAGAACAGCAAGTCGCCGTCTCTATTAATACGTACTCGGGTTAATGCACGATCATGACCTTTAAGTGATAATGGTTTCATCGTTCTTCCTTAAATTAAATATGATAACTACATATCGTTATTTCTGCCATAAATAAATGAAGTTTGTAAAGAAAATGCTCAGATGACAATAACGATATCTTCTTTAACCTTAATCAGTGCTATATTCAGTTTATTCCATAAAAGGACGGTAACTGTAAACTCTATCCTTCTCCTAATTGAAATGTTTCGTTGCTTCCTTGTTACGTTCTATTCCCCACACATTACACCATCCAATCTAACCACTTCGCCATCCCCAGAAAAAACACTTTTACAACTGACCAATCTACACTCAAGCCTTTCCAGCGAGAGAGACGGGCCTGATTGGACGCTGTGTACCACATATCGTCCCAACACACATAGTACTCCACTAAATATTATGAACTTAGTGAGGTGATTGCATTATTCTTAACAACTGTTCAGTAAATTGATGATGTGAATTAACCTAATGAAGCCAACTTCTACTTTAATACACTTAAGTTCGGATCTTCCAGCGTAAATTTGAGGGAACTGGAATTGTGAATTCTACAATTCAAACTCGAACAAGAACCCTTCCAATACAATTCTAGAAGAGAATGATTAAATCAGTCGATTATTTAAAAAAAATAAAAGGAGAATAAATTCTATGCGATAAGCTGACACTTTAGGTAACCAACAAGATATCAACCGCCAGCGAATTGTATCCATACCTCTTGCACTTCTATTCAAAAACTTTTTCCTCCTGCTACAATTGAAATCGCGTTGACGTTAGAAATCAGTTCACAAGTACAACAAGCAGCACTCTAGCTTGGCTTATCTTTCTGATATCTTCCCAAATAAAGCATCAAAAATGAGTCTGAGATATGATGCTTCCAAGTACATGCATAAATATTCTAACTTTATTTGTTAGCGAGGTAGCTCAAAGAGAGCGTAAATCATTTAGAAAAAAAAAATAAATGCCTATTTATTTGACATCAAACAATATGTTATCACATATTACTATATTAAAAACAATATCACAGTGAATTAAACTAGCACCTAAAAAACCAAATCAAGTTAGAATGTGCAGCCATTATTACTGAATATTTGGTGAGAATACATCGCATTCATTCATTGGAGAGCATATGATATTTTTCATACATCATTGGATCACAGCTCACCTTCGAGAAGTATACTAATCTTTTTGATTTTCACCCTTAATGGCATGTAATTTGCTGAGCATCATTTTAGCTTCAATCTGAAAACAATTACGAAAATTATTAAACACCAAAAAAGAATTAAAGTGAAATACCGAAGAATAAAAGGACAATCACTGATAAGTTGTAGTGGGAGTAATGATTTAGAAATAACCTTATTCTTTAACATGTAATCAATTTCGATATGAACAATATGACATTAAAGCGAATGATCGAGGAAGAAAACAGCAATTAATCCATGTAATGATACTTAAAGAGAAATGAATCTAGGTTCATAAATCTGGATGGAATGGAAAACCACACTCGTTTTCGCAATCTTTGTTCCTGTTCTCGAAGAAGAGCTTGTCGCAGTTTCGTTTCCAGTTCGGCCTGCAAATCTTCTTCCAAATCTCCCAAATTCACTTTCAATTCAGAATCTTTTTCTCGAAATTTCGCCTAAATATCCTTTATCCTTCATCAAGAAATATGTATGGAAGAAAAATAATAAAAATTCTCAAACAGCGCTGTGAATAATTTACAAAAATTAAAACTACCACACTTTATATTTCCACATTTTACAGTTATTTGATTCAATCCTCTCGGAAATAATCAAGAAACAAATTCAGAATATAACAGTTCCTCGAAACAATAAATATGAAATACTTCAATTCTCCAAAAAAGTGCCGAAAGCAATCTCCTTGATTCCAATTTCCGCTGGGCAATTAACAATTTTTTTTCCTCCTCCACCATCATTTCATTTAATATACGCTCCTTCTTCAGTCGCTTTTCTTGGTTTCGCTAAACTTTCAATTCGATATAATTTTTTTGTTGTGATATGAAACGGCTAATGCAACTTCACTAATTTTGACGAAATTATAACAAGAAACTGGCTATACAGAATTTAAACTTCTAAAATAAAAGACTTCAGGACTTGCTGAATTATTGCAGTAACTTTTTGAAAATGATAGACTTACTACACAATTGCGATAACTTTCGAGCTTTTCAAAGCAAAAACACTAACTTTTTGGCTTTGTTTCTCGTCCTTTTGTTCTTTTCTGGTGTTGACTTTATCATTTTCTCCTTTTTCACTAAAAAAATGACAAATGCACAGTAACTATTGCATACTTTCGCTTATTTTGCTGAACTGGGAGAAGCCATAAGCTAATTTAATCGATGCTACTGTATATGAAGTGATCATGCACACTACGGTGTAAACAATAAACTTGTGCTTACATCACAAAAAAAGTCATTACTCTTCACAACTTTCTCTCATCATCACCTTTCCCAGATGTGGTAGTCTCAAACAGTAATAGTAAGAAGGGCATTTAGTACTGCCAGTGAAATAATAGAGATGAGAAAGTCAGTTTCACCGTTTTCTACATTCTTCTGAAATTTTTTGCTTTTCCAATTCCTTCAATCGTTCTCTTTCGACATTTCTTTCATGTATGTTTTTGTTTGACAAATGTTTATTTTTATCAAAATCGACCTGCAAGGCAAAAAGTTTAACACTATCAGGACAATTATTTATAAGAAAGTATTATTAGCTTGGAAAGAAAGGGACAAACCCAAAGTAAATCAACTATTCGTAACAGTATTTTAATATTTAAATGATAATTACGCAATATCTTCGCTTCTATCAACTGTTGGAAACGTAAAACCATAGTTTTAATGCATGAAATTTACTTTGATGGTTGCTTCGAAAATTCTGTCATCTGGCATCTTCTTCACTAACTTCTTATTACGCAAGAAATCCATGGCTCTGACAAATGATATGTATTCTACAAATTGTACATATCCTTCAAATAATACCTCCTGAAAGAATTAGTATAATAATTCTTGAACTGCAGAAACTTTGAATGGATGAATTGGGAATATTTGTGATGTCAAATAAATATTACAATCATAATTTCCTATTTATACTGAAGAACTAACCTGCCCGAATGAGAAACCTGTGGTGCATATACCAGATATTTTAGCTGACATTTTTTTTCTATACGGATCACAAACAGGAATATCAACACAGCGAACTGTTCCAAAACGTTCGAACACATTTTGAAGAACGCGTTCACTGGGCATTGAATCATCAGTTGAGCCACATTCCTAGAAAATGAAAGCGTTCCAGAATCTAATACAAGGGAAAATTAAAAACTTAAATTCGAAGATTATAAATTATTAATAAGACCGGGTGTAGTTTAATGCAGAATGATATAGTATAACACAGTAATAGTCACAATTCATGTTAGAATTTATAATACTTTATATCTATAAATTTTATATTCTCCTTCCAGAAAATTGAAATTGGAACACCGCGACAGATAGTGACATCTTCGATACATGAGTAAAAATTAATTGAAAATATTATAGAAAGGGCAAGAGAATAAAAAAAAATTTATAGTAGCTGACCTTAAACCAATTCGACGGCATTTTAGCCAGATATATAGTATCCGGTCGTTCACCGGCCTCCAGTTCATTCATATTATCTGAATTTCGAAAGAATTCATCCCAATCATGTCGAGTGGGAAAATCCGACTTCGATTCTGCTGCTCGGACCTTTAGTGGTTCAAAGAAACCCATAACCTTCAGTGTATAACCATCCAAAGCTTTAATGACCTGAAAGTACATCTGCCATCAAACAAAACAAAATTTAAGGAAAAAACTTCATTCACGATATTGATTTTTTATCACGTTGTCATAAAAGTTATTTTGTTCCTTTTTTGGAGCAGTCGACAACTGTGACAAAGATTTTACTGATTATTGATTATTCGCTCTTTTTCGAACGTTATAACACAATTATTAAAATGTTATGAATTGGAGTCCGTCACTAAGTTAACTAATTTACCCAAATTAGTCTATAGAAATACTGATAATAGCACTAATCCAAGCTGGATTAGCAATAAAGTAACAACAATACAATGATGACTCGACTTTAAGCGCCCTATTTATATTCTTTTCGGACAAAGATGAGCCAAGTAAACATTATTTTAGAATTATCTGACAACGAAGCGCATCTCTTTTGGAAAAAACCATTTGATCTAAAAATTCATTGCTTAACATTTTTTGACTTACTGAAAAACAATCATCGCAGTATAAATTTTTACAGTACAAAAATACTTAGATTATTTCAGTAAATTTATATTATGAAAATATTTTGATTTTCTGACGTGCACAGTTCTTTCCGAAAATGACAGATCTGCTCAACAACTGCGAAAAAATAATGTTTCGAAATACGACTTCCTGACATGCGATAAACAACATGAAAAGTCAAAAGCAGTAAAAAAATCGATTGAATCAGTCAGCAGAATTAAACACTGATGTCAAGATGGATTTTGAGGATAGAATTTTTATACTGTAATGAACTTATACTGTAACGGTTTTGTACTGTAATGAACTTGTACAGAAAAATATTATTAATATATTTGAAAATAAACGGCACACATAGCTCAAAAAATATTTAATTTATAACCTTAGCAAGAATCCTGCGACTAGGCAACTCCGCCTCAAATTGAACCAACTCTATGGTACTTGTCATAACGCGAATCGACGAAAGCTGCAAAACAAAGAAAGAAAATGTTTTGTTGTACTACATCAAAACGGAGCTGAAGAGTGATAAGTGAGAATAGCTGGATTGAGATCGAAAGTTATACTCAAATATATTCCGCAAGCAATGTAAATATGATAATGTAATGTTAACAAATAAAACCAGGTGATCTTAACCAAAAATAAAATGGAACTATCATTTTCTCGTAACTAAAGAAATGACAATCCTACGAAGTTTTACATCTGATAATACGAATCTGCTTCTTCAAAAAGCTAAAGTATACCACTTAATTGCCATTCATTATTCAATATGATTTTCTAAAACAAAGTAATGAGAAAACAGTAAGTACCTCAATAGGACTAACAGCTTTCTTGATTTTTTCCATCAAATCCCAATTAGAAATCGATTGCCCAGGTTGTTTCAACGGAGGCAGACATAAGGTAACCGTCATTCTGGCTGATGGCTTCACGTAGAGACCCATTGGGACACACAATGGTTCCAATTCATCAGCCATTGAGGTTGATGCATCCTCCTCATGAATTAAATCTTCAGGATAATTTTTGAACACGGTAATGAAGCGGGACAAACTGAAAAGTCATAGCAAAACGTTAGACAATAACGATATCATCATATCGATGAATTTATTAAAATCGGTTACAACATTATAACTTGAAATATCAGCAGTACGGTTGGAGGTCAAGAAGGTATCAGTATCTCTGCAAGGAACTGAGATGTATCCTCAGTAATATATAAACATCAAATACAACAATATCTGCAAAAAATTGAATGAACACACCTTTCTCTCGTATGATCTGCTTGCCCACCTAATCAGTTAATTGATGGCTTGGAATAATTTTTTGTTGTGAGAGAGTAAATGCGTGGCCTTAATAGGGATTGGTGCATTCGTTTGCGCTCTTGTTGCTGAGGTTTGAACTTTCACCTTCGTCTTGTTTTTGACCATTAGATATAAACACATTAATTGGAAAGACTGATCTGATTTCACAATAGAAAATCTTATATGATAAAAAGGGTGACGATTGTATTTAGATAAAAATTGTTGAATCTGAAGTTTACAAGAAGAAAATGAGATAGTCAGGTAATGGAGTACCAATGGTATCCGCAATATTTCGAGATGCTTTCCGAATGATAACATATTCGTCTGCAATCAATGCTGTTCAGCTTATCAGAATAAATATGTATATGTATTTCATAAATGTTTGTAAAATTACAAAATTCAAATTGTAAACTGGGAAATGCAGGCACTTCCAATAGTTACCACTCAGAATTAATGGATCTTTGGCTCGGGTGCTTCCGTGCCATCATCAGTCAATAATGGGAAGAAAATCGTTTCCTGACAGTTGCCTTCAACAGCGAGAATTTTTCTCCATAAATTGAAAAAATCTAATTTTTCCGCTATTCACACCAGGAAGAGTAAAACATTTTACTGTGAACTTTAGGGTATTTATCTACCTGGTATTTATCCGATTGTTGCACCCATGACCAAATAATTTTGTACCGGATTATAATGATAATAGTTCAGTTTTCCAAGAGTGTATAATTGACTGCCTTTCATCCGGAAATCTAGAAAACAAGCAAAACTAGTTCTGATTCTATTCTTGCAAATAAATCAGGAGTATCGAAACAAATATCTAGTATTAGCAGACTAAACTTTAAAACAAATTACAAACACAGAGTACTATGAAAATTAGTTTGACTATTGTCACACCTTATTCAATTACTTTAATATACTACCAGTATACTACCTGACTCCGAATTTTCAACTCCTTGACAACCCGAATCCACCTAAATTCTTCAGAAAACTTCAAGAGGGAGCTAACAAATGGATCAGGAAACCGCTGGGGACTGTAGACTTGTATCCCGAGTACAGTATATTGCGAATCATGAGTTCAAATCGGTGCTGCAGAATTCCATTGACCATAATTTCATCTTGAATTTTAATCTCATCATTTTAAGTTCAGTATGACTACTTATTATTCTCAACGCCTAAATTCTAAATTAGCTATGCTAATTCTCAATAAAAACATAAACTCTCTCGGCCTCCTAACTCTAGGGAAGGTTAATCCCCCCTCCACCAGATGAAAATTAGGATATACTTTGAGTAGAAAAAAGGAAATCACCGAAGCGCCTCTAAAACTAAATCATCATATTTCACCTGATGACTATGGAAACTTAGCTAAGTGAATTATATTTTAGTGAACATACGTTTATTTTCCAGATTGAATAATACAAATGTGAATGGAATAATTTATTGACAGAAAATAAAGTCATACTTTCTTGTTTTTTGAAAGGAATACAAAAAGATATACCCAGAAACCTCAGGAAAAATATGTATGATAAATTATTGCAAATACAAAGATAATTTTTCCACGTTACTGCAGTACAATAAAAAGTGAAATGAGCGAATACGTACCATTTATGAAATGTGTTTCATCTATAAACAATACTCACAGACATGTACACACATACATACCCCCCTACACACACAGATAATTGAAACAAAAATGTGATGTGGTTGAAAAAAATAGCATCGTAAATTATTCGTTATTGTATCATAAATTACTAATGCCATTTTGAAGTACTGTCAAACTTTTCGATGGTCTTTAAACCTCAATAGGTTAGAGATCTGTTCAAAATTTTTTGGAACCTAGATGTTTTAAAGTGTAGTAATCAATGAATTTCAAAATTATGAATAGCTCGGATTTTAAATTTCATATCATAAATTATCTATGGTTAGTTTATAAAATCCTTTCAACTACTGGAAGAAGTCAATTAATTCAGGCAGAAGCAAAAAAACCGATCTCTAAAGTTGAATGACACCATCCACTACTCTGGATATGTATTAATAAAATCACTGTTATTGTTATGTTATGTCACTGTTATGTAGCCATCTCGACCAATCAAATCAATGATGACATATACATAACAGATCATCTTATCCATTTTAAACTTTACATTCTATAACACTTATAACCTAAAGCAATGTGCAACAATTAATTGCATAAATTTAAGTTCAAAAATAAATCTGATGGAATTTTATGACTGAAAGATAGATAAAGAAAGAAACGGGCACAAGTGCACTCTGAGGGTGACGAGGCAGCAGAACAAGAAAAATAACAAAGTACTCTCGAGAAAAACATGAGAGACATGGACTATGCTTGATCACAGAAAAACAGACCGAAGAACGAAAAATAAATGGATAAATAAATGGAAACAAATCTTAAGATTTTAAGATTAATAAAATCTGATAGTCTCACGGAATGCAACATCAAAAACTATAATTCTGTTCTATGCTACTCTTCAACAAATAATACATTCCGTGTTTCAAACAAATACATTCCAGATCAATGAAACATGGAATCTATTACCAACCTTTAAACTTTGTTGCTCAAAAGATTTGATAAAACATATAACTACTATGAACATGACAAAAGTAGAAAATCTTTTCGATAAGCAAACATATATAATCATAAAACTATTACCAAATTGAAAAGAAAAAAAATTGGAGGTGCAAAAATAACTGTTGATTCACTTCCATTTTTTATGACGAAATGTGTAGCACATTTATCACTTCAAACAGTTGGAAATAAACTTGCTCAAGAAATCTTAAGTGGAAACTCTTCAACCAGCTATTTGGCACAATAATTTCGAGTGTAAGTGACTAAATATTTTAGTGTGATTAAAACATAAATGAAATAAAGACCAAACATTTCAAATGAGCAAAAATCGGACATATTCCAAGCTGAAATATGCATTAGTTTCAGGCCTAAGATTCTAAAATAAAAAGATTCGGGACTCGAACAAGCGATGTTTTGCCGCCACCACTGCTATATTGAATTCTTCCTCGTCCTCCTCGAGCTGAATTTGATTGTCCACCTCGTCCACCCATAGGAGGACGTCGTCTGACTGGCATTCCATTCCTACTACCAATGCCAGATAAAATCGAAGCATCAATACCCTGAACAGAGAATCGCCATTTCCAGTTCTTTATTAAACTATACTTGAAAATCGGATTAGAATAATACAAAAAGCATTCCACATTAAGTTTATTATTCCTAATATATTATAACAATTCCGTGCAGAGCGCTACTACAAGTGACAGAACTGAACGTTTAATATCAATTCTTCTAAGGAATTTTCATGCTGGAAATTAGATGTTTTCCATAGCCTACACACCAATTCCAATTAAACAGTCATGAATCACGTCTGTTTGCATCACTCAATCATGCAACATAACCGGTGATGCATTATGCTGGTATACTAGTTTTACTATGTTTCTACATTACTTTGGCAACAGATAATAATGCCAGTTATCCAAGTAATAAAAGATTAAAATTACTGCCTTGTTTGGACAAAATATACCTGCGCTTTCAATGATTCCTGCAGTTTTTTATTGAGATCCGCCAGCTGTTCGGCAGTCAAAGCGTCAGATTTCATCAAAATTCCTCCATTTGAAATTTCCGCTATATTTTTGCGGTCTTCTAAAAATTTTGCCAGTTTATTATAGTCATCAGTATTTCAAGACAAGAATTAAAGATATGAGAAGTCCTAACTTGTTAGTTCTACTCTGTTTAATGATAGTCCGTTATATTTATCGCATCCTTCAACACACTAAAATATAACAATACCAATTAAATAATTAATAATAATCGGATCTTTTCAATTTCTACTTCTTTGCAGTTAATTTTAGAACGCACCATTTCCAACTGGACTTATTTGTCCGAGTCCCGAATCTTCCCCAAGTGAGCTTACAATGGACGAATGACTTGTCGAATGTTTCATTACATAAGTTGATGCAGCAGTTCCTGTTTGACGAACTACTAAATTTGTCTCATTTCCAGCTGTACTATTCACAGCAACCACTGGAAAAAATTATTAAAGATACGCGATGAATACAATGAATAACTGTTCGTAATTTTATCTCTCCTGCACAAATCGAACTATAACAATACTCGAATTCACATGACAACACAGTTTATATTATAGACTATAATCAGGTAGCATACTGTATTGTTGCAAAACATTTAAAGGACCTGTGTATATCAAATAATAATACCAGTTAATGGCTTGCAAAATCCATTTTTAGGTGGAAATAAAAAAATTTATCGCTATATGTAAGATGTTATAGTAAATGCTCTTTTATCTGTTGTATCAAATGCTCCTTTAACTTTTTGTATTCCATCTTAATAAATTGATGAAAATCGTGCAGATCAAGTTCTATAATACCTTCGCCGAAATTTTTAATAAGTTTGACCAGTTGCGCACTATCGCAATGCAAACGAGTTGCTAGAGCGATTCCTTCCTCATTCTGTTTTTCCGCATTGAATCTTGCAATTTCATCACGTAATTCTGCTTGTTCACGATCACTCATTGCGCTCATTCGTTTGGCACGACCGTACAGTTCACAAGACTGCAGGCGACGTTCATTGAAGAATCGTGTCCCTTCATCACGTATTTGTTGTAACTCCGCCAATAAATGGTTTTCACGTTCAACCAAAAGTTGGCGTATACACTAAATTAGATAATATTTGTTTTCCAATTACATTTGCAATATAACAAAGTAACAAAAGTAAGAAATGTTTTAAGAATAGAATTTCAAACTCTTATGTATGAGAAATTTTTACAATTCATACTTTTTATTACCTATTAGAACATCCAACCTTAGACAACAAAGTTATTTTATATGAAAATTAATACGTTCTTCATCTTGGCATGTACTATATTTAGTTTCTTGATCTGAAGTCATACTTTTTCTCTGAATGATCGAAATACTTTTCTATCATCCAGACTCTCTCTATTTTCAAGATATTCCACAGCTGAACATCAGCAATCAGAACAAAATATGTTCTACAATATATTTTTGATATCTGCTCACCTTAAATGAATTCCGCACATTTTCTTCGGCTATAGAAAGTTGGTTTTCAAAAACAGTCTCTATCTTTTCAATTTGCCTATGATGGTCCCTTAATCTTGTCGCACCTAAAACAATTTTACCAATGAAATGATACAAGCCGAAATGTTACTGAGCAATGGTTTTAGAAATAGAATTTAGAACTCTTGTGCATAAAAAACTTTTACAATTAGGAGCTTTTCATTGCATATCTGAACAGCCAACCTTAGAAATCGCACACAGAAAAAAGTATACGTTAGAAAAGTAAATATAAAAAATTTTACAAAAATCAGTTAGTACCCCTACAAATGCGACCATTATCAAGGTTCTGGATTTCACTCGGTGCCGCTGGCTTTGATGCAATAGAACTAACAGAAGGTATTTTAGCATCATCAGAGCTGGCCACAAGTTTTTGTGATTCAGATGTTGATAGCGGTACAGTTTCAGATCGATTGCGTGAATTCGCTACTTCCACAATTCCTATTAAACACAATTTATGTTTAATAAAAAAAGCTATGTAAAATGTTTTGGAACTGAAGTATAACATCACAGTTAGTAAAACTACATCCATTAAAAAAGGAACTTTAATCTTTTCCTTTTTCAAATGATAATTTACTGAAGTAGTTCATAATGTCGGTGTTAGACCTGAAGAATAATTCCATAATAAAAAAGAGAACGTTATGTTAAGCTTTGGTCTGTCGCAGTTTGAAGAAATAATTGAATGATCATGAATAAAAACAAAACACTCTTTATCCTACTGTTAAAAAAAACACAGAAACTATTTTCTGCTAAATGTTACGCTCTTTTACCATTGATGACCGATGATGAGACCACTCCATTTAGGGTTTTAGGAGCAGAACGTGGTGCACAAGTGCATGATAGCGTAGATGCAATTGTTGCGGTAACTGCCTGAAAATTAGACATGAACCAGTTTCGATATAGTTTTGACATTTTCAATGTCATAAAAAAATTAAAAAAAAACTCACTTGATCCTTGGCCATCTTTTTCTTTTTTTGGTTTTTTTTATTAGAAGTACCAGATCTTTTCCACGAACCTAAAGCGCTCTGTGCACCATCTATAACACAGTCATTTAAAATTTATAACCAAATTTGGTGGAATTAGTAAACTTAAAATTTTATGAAAGAACGTTATAAAATCAAGATACTCGAACTTTTAAACAATAAGAATATAATACGCGAAATTCAAACCTAAACCTAAGTAGGTTGCCTCAAAATAAATATGATTGACGAACCATCACAAAATGCTTGTATAGTTTTGTTAACATCAAAATCGAAATTATGAAGTGCAAGAATGATGTCGTTCTTTGATGCTGTATGTACCACCTCACGTACTTTTGCTACTGCCTCTTCGATTACTTTTTTCTCACTCCGATACTGCTGCATAGACATCTTTTTATAATAAGTATTAACGAAATAAATGAAGTGTATACGCCACCAACTCTGAAATGGTTAGAGAAAAGATTGCATTACTCCAATTTTGTTATAAATCCATTTCATACACACATCTATACAGTATTTGCAAATAGCAGCAACTGTTCATTTTGTGTTGACTATCTTCTACAAAAAATGATATGGTGTGATGTTATAATCTTTACTCTGCATTTAATACATGCTAACCATTCCGCTGTATTCCAATACACCATTATACATATTCTAGATAATGGAGAAGTGTTTACAATGAAAACATTGGATGCGGAATTAACAACTGAGAGACTATTAATGGTGTTGGGAATTTAATAACGTCTCGTTGTAGAAATACTAATAGAACGCTGCAATCATTTCACCATCCCCATGATTTTTTAATAAAATCTATAGAAAAACTCAGATTACAAGAAAATCCTCCTTTCCTTTTCATCAGCTAACATATATTTTCAAAACAGAGAAACATCATCAGATCGAACTGATATCGGTGAGATAGAGTGCCATATTTTTCAACATAGCACAAGGAAATGCTTCAGCGAACAAATGAACAACTCAGACTACAGAAAACAAAAGAGGAGAGAGAGGAAGAATCGACCACGCAATAGTAATGCAAGTAATACTAAAGTGTAAGGCAGCATTCCTCAATACTTCCCACTGCACACTATCTATTTCACACCATGAATATGTTCGATTGTAATGGGAACGTCCCTGTGTGTGTATGTCTGTGTGTGAACGACCGAGAGATAGGAATTACAGTCTGATTAGCTCAATTTATTTTCATCAATGAAATCGACTTATTTCAGAACTATAATAGGCTTGCTTGAGAGTCAAGTAATACAATTAAAGCAGTCTCTATCATATCCATTATAAGCTTTTTATCTTGATACAGATTTCCTCCATATTTAGACTAGTTGAATTAAGCCCAAAGATCCAACAAAGCGTGATGGCTTAAAAACATTTTCCTAGTCCTATAAAAATAATAAAAAGTAGCAGCCATGAACCTTCAACCTAAATCACGTTACTCACTTACGCCATTTCACCCCACCCCAATTATATTATCCCACTCACACCACAATGCCATGCACGGTACGCCACACCACATCACGCACGCCATCCACGCAATGTCACCACTCAAAAAGGTAACCACCAATCAACGAAAGGCGGACTGTGTCTATTGTCATGTAGCCGCGCTATTGCGTCCATTGTGAAATCAAAAACGTCTCAAGAAAAAAGGAATATTTTACTGAGCTTTACTATGGTGCTCAGATTACGAGAAATTTACGGTCAATTTGTTTCTGACCATTGAGGCATTCCGAGTATACCTTCCAGTGAACAACTTTCTAGTGCTCTTGTCCGATGCAAGAAGTGCCAATAAACTATACAGTTCCTTTATGATGCTTTTTGGAAAAAAAACGCCAAAAAGCCGCTATTTTTAAAACCGAGTTATCCAGTGAAGTTTAATATTGAATAAGAATAGGAGAACTACTCAGTTAATTGCAATTTGGAGCATATGCATTGCTCTCATTAGTGAATGAAATTCATCTCTAACTTTTCACTAAAACATATCACAAAAGAAAACTTTTCAATCGACAGTATGCAATATAAATGCATAAATGAACGAATCATTGCGTCAGTTTCATTTCACTATAAAAACATGCAATCATGTCTTAATGTATTTGTGATCGCTCTATTCTACCAAATAGTATTACTTCCAAAAATGGATCGTTTGTTCAAATCACAATTAATAGTATCAAATTATCATATAATCCTGCAAAAGATAGACTTCGTCTAAAGACTACGATGTAATTTGTCAGAAAAAAAGATTGTTATAGAAGTATGGTTTAAAAATATTAAAACGGCCAGCAATACGAGATTCTTCCAGATAGTCGGTGAAAAAAATTAAATAAATTTTACTAAAATTAAAACCACCAATACTTTCCGAAAAAAATACATACACTTACAAACACAGTCGGAGCAAAAAACGATTATTGACTACTCTATCAATTGCTAATTGCTATTAAAAAAGAATTTTACCGAATTGGTAAAATTTAATGTGATTTCCCACCAAAAATAATTTTTTCCATGCATTTTTAATTCGTTTTTGTGAGTTTCCTTCTAATGATTTTTCTTTCTTCGTTTTATTAATGAATTTTAGTTTTGAAGACCAACAATTTATTTTGTGAGCAAATAAATTAAGTCACTGAATGATTTGGCTGAAAAAATTTGAAGAAAAAATAAAAATCTCCAGGAAATGTTGAATTTTAGATTAAAATATAGTTTCCATAAGAGCGGTGCAAAAAATGAGAACGAAAGTGCGGAAAGAATTAGATGTGTTAGATATCGAACATCAAATATTTTCTACAGTTCTCAAGTATAGAAATAACATAAATTTGAAATAAACAGATAGAAATAACAAAAAAACAAGAAAACTAAAGTCCAGTATTTATATGTGAAGAATTTAAAGAAACTTTGTTCGCAACAAAGTAGTAACAGCATTCCCACTTATCACTTGTGAGCCATTAGCAACAGTATCATCATTCCCATTATTAGAATTATGTTAACGCAAATTACTATCATTGACCTTTTGATGAATAAACTGCAAATTATCGAAACGACCAACAATCATGATAACACAATGAACCGCAAAGAATTACTGAATTGATAACACGTCGGGTCGATTTCAATAACTTTTTGCAGTTTATTCATCAAAAAAATTTGCTTGAGCTATGAAATTCGCAAGATACTACTATGTTACAAATATCAGCTAGAGGGGAAAAAATCCGCACTAGTTTCCGGAAAGCCGTGAATCAGAAGTGCCTAATTCCAGAAATGTTCCAAAAGATAGAACTATCTGTTTTCAAGGCTTCAGATTTCTTGAAAAATCCGAGAACCTCCTTGTAAGTCATATTATTAATTAAGTCATATTATTAATCATCTCACAGGCTTAACATAAATTTCACAGCAAAACAAAGTAAACCGTGGAAATATCAAAAAATTCCTCCTCAACGAACGGAGGAGACGATAGTGAAAATAAAAAGAAGGATGACTTTTTAACAAATGAGCACGAAATTTCAGTTCCTCTTCTCAGATGTTATTATTCATCCCGATCTGTCGCGACGCACATGTCGCATCTCAAACAGTTTTATATGAATGATCAGATCAATTCAAATTACTATAATCTCTTATCAGCTGTCATCCAATCACAAATGAGGAAATAAATGTGCCTTTTTCTAAAAAAAAAAGATTTACGGCAAATCTGTATCGAAAAACCGGAAAAGATAAGATAGTGGGGACGATGAGGGCACTAAAAGACATCTGCGTTCGGTTTGAAATGTCAAGTCTGTTTACCAAACAGTTCTCCAATGCTTCGCCTCCCATTCGACCTAACCGACGGTGCAAAAATTTTATACCTCTGACATCATTCTCGGTTTGCCATTGACCATACAACAGCTTTATATAAACAAAATTCCATTACATTCCATCCTCTCTCCCTCACTTTTTCGTTTCGTACTCTCTGCCTTCCATTTCATACAGAGTGATGAAAAAGGAACGTTCAAAGAAAACCTCTTTAACTTTACTTCGGGAATAATCAGATTCACCAAATATTCCTGAAAATATCTGGAATCTGCATCACAGATTCTGTACACCAAACTGATTGCAAAATTCCGGTGGACATAGGTATAGTTAAGGCAGACATATCCATCAGTAGAACAAAAGAGAATTTGATGGGTGGAGAGCTATTTATCCTTTCTAGATATGGATAAGCGATGGAATGGATAGCTGTTGATGGACAACAGGAAAGGATGGATTGGTGGTGAGAATAGAGAGTGAAGTGAAAAGTACGAATAAAAACAACGCAATTACATTGAAGAACATATAATAGTAAATATCAAAGATTAGATGGACAGTGGCTATCGATTCTGATTCTGGAACTTGCGTTAACGTTGTCTTCCTGACCTCCTTTAGTATATCTCATTGCCGTTACGAGATCGACAGTGATTTCAATTAGCCTTCAGAAGGAGTTTATTAAGGAAATTGAAAATGACCTCAAAAGTCTCAAAAATTGAACGACGAGGCAATAATGTATGGGTCATCGTGAGTGTAGAAGGAATGCCTTTCATGCAGTTGTGACGTTTTATTGAAATTGGATACAAACCTTTTCCACTTCTAAGGAGTTATTCGGGTCGACGCAATATGGTTTGAAGGAGATTTAAAGTTATTGGAAGATGTCACTGAGCCAGTTAATTGCGTAGTGGCTAAAGAGGTGGAAGCGAGCGATACAGCGAGTAGCTTCGGTATGTGATGCGGGAGGGTCGTTGCGGTTGCGTTTGTTGGCAGTTAATTTAGTCTGGCTTGGAATTAGTCGTGTTCCATTCAGGAATTGATGTGCATTTTGAAAATATTAAAGATCGAAGAAATATCAAAAATGGGAGGCGGAGATTGAAAGGAAAAAATAGTGTAATGATGTCAAATGAAACAATATGGTATATAGAGAAGAGGAATTGATAGAATCATGTTGCATGGAAACAGTAACTGTAAGCAATACGAACACTATTGATGTCGGAGAAATGTCGAAAACATATATAATTTACAATAATATAGATTATATAAACGTTAAAAGAAGGATAAGATTGATAGAACTTCTTACTACTCATTTTCTTCTATTTCTTAATTCAGAGATTCCTGTTTATATACCTTTTGCTAGATGTGTAGCCATTGGAATTTTAATGTTTTGCTGTTATGATTAGTTTAATTTAGCTTGGATCATTTATACTATGAAATCATTGATGGATTTTGATGAAACGCTTAAATTTAGCCATTTGTAATATGTGTACTGAACATCTGATGGAATGGGACATAACTTCCCTTAATTTTGTATTCATCTTCAAAATTTTCGCATCATCACTCGGCATGCAATTTTGGTCCATGATTTCAGCATCAGATTATCATGAAACGGCAGCGAATCG